TAGCTGCTTGTGAACTTCTATAATTGAGACACGTTGGTACCTAAAAATTCCAGCCGGAAAGAATATTATACAGTCTCATAAATTTCAATGAAAAGGGCCAGAAAGCCTAACTTAAATTATCTGGTTGTGAACTATCTCACCATTTTTATAGGGCATCTAGACAAATGAAGAATGGCAGTTTTGAATCACCACTGTTTTGAATATGTAAATATTAGATTCACGAGTTTATATTTTATAAACAAAAGAAAGCATTAATTTTATAGAATGCAAAGAGCAGTCCAAGGATTTTGATTTTATTTTCCCCTCTACTGGTGGTTTTGCTCTCTTTTTGGTGGTTTATGGGAAATAAATTACATATTTATAAACTCATTGATTGGAATTATTTAACCTTTTAAGAAATATTCCTATTCAGATTAAGAAAGAAATCTGAAACTACCAGACTAATGAATCAAAATGTCTTCAATGGAGCATTCCTTTGAAAGCTTTACGTCTACAACAATAAATTACCCAGTGATAGAACCTCAAGTAGGCTTTTTTTGTTGTTTGCTAAAACATGATTTAATCCCATAAAGTAGGCAAACCAGAGACATTCATCCATCCCGGTATTCGTTCATTAATTTACTACCTACCTTTGACCTTCCCATTGGTGGATGTGGTCTAGTTGGAGAGATAGATATAAAATATGACATACCGTAGCAAGTGTTCTGGGAACATAGAAGGTGGATGACTAGCTGTGCTTGGGTGATTGGAGGACATCTTTATTTAGGAAGAGGCCAAGGCTACTGCATATAATTGTGTAGCTTCTGCCCTGGATGAGGGTATTGTTCCAGAGGAGTAACCAAGAATGTAACCAACTTCCTGCTGTAAGGTCTGAGCATGCACCCTGGTGACAGTCATGTGTGCCTAGAGGATGGGTTCCTTTCAGCTGCACAAAGAAACCCTATTCTGACTCAAAGATTGAGTCAGAATCTGCCTGGCAAAATTATTGGTAGTTACTTTTGTCATGGAAGGGACCTGGCATGTCTGGGGAAGAGAAGAATGAAAGTGAGAAGTGCACTGGTTTGGGAGCTAACTGGATTTTTAAGCAATGGGACACTTTAATTCTGGGGTGATATGTGGTGAAAGTTAGTGGGACAGGCAACATCCAGAGGAGAAGAGATGTGGTAACTATGACAGCGAGGATGAATGGAGAAAGGGTGGAGGAATAGGCATCCGGCTTTAGAGAGTGATGAACTAGTGACTTAAGGTCCTAACTCTAGATCCCTGGGGAGGAAGTTTGGGGTGGGAAAATGTGCTGACAGCCACAGTTTGGAGCAGTTAAGAGTCTGGTGAGCAGTAAGCGACAGGAAGTGTTATAATGTAGGCTCTGTAATGCGCCAGCATTTGAGGTCTGTGGCTGAAGCCATGGGCACAAATAGGATCACTGAAAAGAGCATGTAACAAGAAGAAAAGGCCCTGCCACATGAGCTGGCAGTTACAAAAGGCTTCTTGATGCTAGTGAGAACTGTTTAAGTAGAGGACTCGGCATGGAGGTCACCTTGCAGAAGACTGAGGATTAAATGAGCACTCAAGGAGACAGAGGTTCTCATCCCTACTACCACATTAGCATTTTCTGGGAAGGTTTTAGAAAAACAATCAATGCCTTCATCCTACCTTTAGATATTTAGAGTTAATTGGTCTTCTGTGGGGCCCAGAAATCAGTATTTAAAAGAAAAGAAAAGAAAAGAAAACTTCCTAGATAATATTAGTGGATTGACAGAATCAAGAACCTCTGGACTTGACTATTCTTTAAGAATTATAAATAAAAACCCCAAAGCTTGCAAGCACATGATAAGATATTTATAATCACAGGGGATCAGAGAAGAATAGAATTTTTGTTTTAAAGGTGAAGAATCTATATATTCTAATGTTGGCAGAAATGGAAAATCTGAACAAGGCTTTCTTGTAGCTGTGGTGTACCCCAGCTCTCAAGAGAATACTGGTGAGTAGTGGCACTGCTGCAGCTGCTCTGTGGGGCAGTGTGGATATGTGACCTCCTTAGGGCAGCCCTGTGACCCAGCAGTTTCACTGCTGGATGTGTCTCAGGAAAATTCTCCCACAGGACTTAAAGGAACACACACCAGCATGTTCCAAGACAGCTAGTGTAGAGTAGGGAGAATTGGAAATAACCTGAGTATCCTTCCCTAGGACAGTGGATTCAGTAAAATTGGGCCATTGTACCCCTTAGAATATACTATGCAGGCATTTTAGAAAGCCAAATTAGAAAGAATAGATCAGATCTATAGAATATTAACATGGATGGATCCTAAAAACATCATGCTTACGAATATCATAGTAAACAATAAAGAAATACGGTAAACCCTTAAAAATATATGCAAAACAGCCATGTATATATAAATAAGAAAAATATATTCAAATAAAAACCTACACATTATAAACCATTAAAGTGATTGTCTACACATGAGTGATGATGTGTAATTTGAAAAGTATGATTCCCAGACGTAACTTTCCTCTGTTCATATGTGAATACATGACCAGTGAAACTCCACCTCATGTACAACCACAAGAATGGGATCCTAATTAAAGTAAGTTATACTCCATGTGTGTATAATATGTCATAATACACTCTACTGTCATGTATATCTAAAAAGAGCAAATTAAAAAAATGTAAATTTTTTAAAAAGTACCCTGGAGAAAGGCCATGTGAGCACACAGAGAAGGTCACCAAGCGGAGAGCCTTCACCAGAAACCTACCCAGGGTAATCTGGAACTTCTGGCCTCTAGAACCATGAGAAAGGAAGTCTCTGTTATTTAAGCGACTCAGCCTATGATGTTTCCTTATATTAACCCAAACTGACTAATACCGTCTAACTGTTCAAAAAAATAAAAGTGTGATTCCAAGAGGAATGAGACAGGATGGAAGCTAAAACAGGAAGTGGGGAAGGGGAAGGAGTGTATGTTTTAACAGTGCAAAGAGTTGTGAATGGGTGGATGAAATGGAAGACTCCAGGGGATTTATTTCCAAGTAGTATTCCTTTCTTTGTCTTGTCCCCCACCTTAAGCTCATTGTTTATTCCTCATTACTAAAGTAGTACTTGCTCATTACAGATATGTCAGGAAACTGACAGTAAAACTAAAAGAAAGATCCAAAAACCTACTCACCCAGAGACAGAGTCAGGGATCCTTTTTTATGAACAGTTGCCAAATTAAATGGAAGCCTTTTGGTAAATGGAAGTATGTGAGCTGCCTCCTGAGTATGGAGTTTGTGCAGCTTCATTATTAATGTCTTCCTGGTGTTCTGTTGTGCAGACCCAGGGACAGAAATGTGGTGAGCCCCCCATCACTAGACATCATCAGTTTCTAAATTTTGCCACCTCAAGTGCTGCTGTGAGCAAACTTAAGCAATGCCTACCTTTAAAGACAATTTACTGCCCTTCATTTCCCTCATTTTGAAAGGAAGATTAAAGATGGGATTTTAAAATTTCTACCAGAAAGTAAAAATTAATTCTGCATCACCTAAAGTCAGAGCACCGACCCTCTTGGGACTGTTCTGGGGGTCAGTGGTGAATGAGAATGAAGGAACAAGGTCATCCCCCACTGGGTAGACACAGTCATAGGTGCTTGTCCCTGTGCCAAGGGCCCCCTAGTTGCTGTACTTTAATCTCTGATGCATACATTAAATTACACAGACTCTTAGGAGATCTACTGTGGGTGGTGTGATCCCCTCGTGTGATGGTGGTATGGATAGGTGGTAGGACGAGAGGTACTGAGCTTTGGGAGATTATATGGAAATAACTGTTTATGGCAAAGGAACCAAAGTATGTTATTGAATCTATATGCAGTACTCAAGTTACAAACAACGCCAACAAGCCCCAAGGAACGCACAGTGTGTATTTTGAGCACTTGCTCTCCCACAAGTTCCCCAAACCCAGTAGTTTTGAAGATTAAATGTAATCCTTCCAGTTGGTGGGCTTACGCACGAGAAATCCGGTGCCAGTGTTTCTTCAGACTCTTATAGTTAGGTACTGGCTAGACCACTCTGCAGCCAGATTGTCAAGGCCCTGAAGAAATAGCCTGGATGTGGGAGACAGGTCCCTGGAAAACAGGAATACACCAACACTTTCACATCATCCATGCAGCATTTGTTATGTATGGCAGCAGGAAAAGAGCTCTCCTGTCTTTTTAAATAGGTTCTTTGTTGTCTAGAAACTCTGAACAGACGGAGCTGTTTCCAGGGGCTGTTTTGAAGCTCCAGCCTATGTGTATTTTAACATAGAACCATATCCCAAAGAGTCAGTGCAGGGCAGCGCTGAGCTTTTGGCAGACAGGGCAAGCCTCCGCATGAGTTACAGTTGATAGGGCAAGGAGAGCTCAAGGCTTACAAAAATCCCTTCTGTGGCCTGCTTAAAAATAGCAGTGTAGGCCATAGCTTAGTGTTTTGACAGCTTATATCAGCAGTTTTCTTGCCTGATATATTGATTGCAGTTTGGACTTCAGTCCTGCTGATCTAATAAAACATCACCATCATAACAGAGAAAGTAAAAGGATCTTTGGTCCCTGCCACTTGGTAAAGTATCTCTACAAAGCTACTATGAACCTAGCTGTATTGTTTTATGTAAAATGAAATAAAATTGGACCAGTTGACTGATTACATTTTTATTAATCTTTAGTTTCTTCATCCGTCAGCATGTTGCTTACTAACACTAATCAACATATTTTTACAAATATGCATTTGTTCAAAGAAATTCAATGGTATCCTCACAAATTCTAAAATGAGTTTCATGCATCAGCAACACAAAACAGCCTAATAGTGCATCCAAGATGGTGATGCTCCTGACATTAAGTGGGGGAAATGCATGCACAAAAAGGCAACCAGTGTCTGAATGAATATCTAAGGCATGTATGTACAAGTCTCCTTGTCATTATGAGGATATTTTTTACTATCTTGCATTCACTCAGCCTTCCATCCTAATTATGCTAAATATCCTTTAACTTTACAGCAATTGCTGACCATCCAGGAGGAATTAAACAACAAAAAGTCAGAACTGGAACAAGCAAAGGAAGAGCAGTCCCACACACAAGCTTTACTAAAAGTCCTCCAGGAGCAAGTAAGTGAACGAGAAAACACTCTGATTGACGCATCAAGTCAAATGTGCCTGGTGTAAACACCCTAGCATGTCACTCACACAAGCATGGCTGAGGTCATCTCTGGAGTAATTAGCCCATACCCTGTCAATCCTACTGGCAGCTTTGCTTTGTGGAATTTGTCATTCTCAACTTCTCTGTCCTCACCCTGCATTTACTTATATTCCCCAAGCCCACCCTCATTGTGTGAATGTTTCTCCCACAAGACAAGTGAATTTTGATAAATTTTTTCAATGCTGGTAGTGCAGATATGTTTCAAAGTAAGCAGCTAGCTTCCTCTAAGTCTAATAGTGAGGAAAATGAATTTAGCATAATCCATGATGTTCCTGCAGACTTACAACTAAGAAGGACTGATTCATAGCAACATTAAAAAAAAAAGTCTCTTCCCTGTGTGCATCAGGGCACTTATCTGACCACGACAAGCAACAAACCTTTCATATGATCTGATCATTTCATTCTGGCTTTCCTTGATACGAAAGTGTGGCCTGACATTGATAGGTGGACGGAAAATATCATCTTACAGCAGGATGAGATGGATCACTCCACAGTCAACAGAGTGAAATCTAAGCCTCACTCTCTGTACTGGAGGAGCCAGGAGAGTCCTCGAGAGGTTTTCTGATTTTCTGGCCTTCACTTGCTGCCAACAATGTAATGATTGGTAATTAGGAGGGGAAAAGAATCACAGTAACCTCAACTCTCTGTAGTCAAAATGTAGGTTGTTTTAAATTTTTCATTCACACTTAGTGGTTTATAAGAAGATTATTTTAGAAAATAGGAAGCAGCAAGAGTGTGGCCCTAGTCAGCTGGGACTCAGTCACTTAAAAATGATTTTTATTTTTTCAAAAATTTGGGGTATATATGTATTTTTTTTCAAGAAAGAAAACATATTAATTAGATATGTTTTATAGCTATGCATTTTATAGCTATGCAAGAAAATATTTTTTTAAAGTAATGGTTATCTTTATTGAATAATAGAGAATAACTTATACTGAGGCTGAATTGTATGATTTCAGGTATGTTAGATTAAACTGAAAACTTCAGTCAACTAAATTCACAGTGACCTACTATTTGGGAGACCACAAATCACTGTCCACCCCACCTTGATATAACCCTAGCAAAATTGAGCTGACTTGGTCCAAATTTGCTTCAGGTCAGATAGTCATAACTTTGGGCTTTCATTATTTTCTGCTCTCTCTGCTGATTTTTTTTTTAAAGACGGCTTTAACTGAGGTGAGGAGAGGTGACTTTCTCTTTTCTCTAAATGACTCAAAGCCTTTATTTTTATTTAAAGTCAAAACTCCAGTTATGAAAATAGATTCTGAGTTGTGCAGAAAGTATCGACGTAGTCTTGTTAGGGTATGCATTTTCAAAGAGCAAAGTGCATAGGTAGGCATTGATGGAATATCACATCTCACTTTACATGACTTAAATTTTAAAAAGGAGAATGTTAAGAGAATTCAGAATAACTGAAATGATACAAGACATAGAAAAATACAACTGAGAAGAAAGTGCTTTTACGTTTACAGTATTAATTTAAATGCGAGGGCCCTTTTTAAGCAAGGTCACCAAGAATACCTAAGTCTACGGAGCCAGTGAGACATAGCAGCCAAAGGAATTTGAACAACACCAAGCCACTTGCCTGAGAGCCCCTCGCCTGCTACCCCTGGTCTGCCTTTCAGAAGGTGGCGTACAATGTACGTGGAATCTCCCTACAACCAACCAGCCACCTACCCACAGGCTGAAAAATGCACCCCTCACTTCCACCAACATTGCTTTATGAGGTTTGCTTTGGATTTGTGTAAATCCATTATGAGCTTATGTATGGCCTTAACAAATGGGCTCATGCATGCACATACCACACACACACACAAACACACAAACACACACTGTATTTTGCTATTCAATACAGCTGCCACTTGCTGGGAATCCTTACCAGAAAGGCAAAGTCTTGAGGGCAGACCCTCCTACTGCTGGCTCTCCACCCATCAGGGAAGTCAGGTCACTCTCCATGCCCTGTACCTTCCTGTATGCTGAAATACAGATTCCATAGGTCCCTCCAGGCACACAGACTCCTATCTTTCATCTTCTTGACAATCAAGGGTACATTCTACATCCAATGTTTGTTCATTAACCTAAAATCCATCAGATAAAATGTTCATGTTCCAGCTGAAGAAAGCAGCAGAGTGAGCGATAGCAGTGGACAGAGGTAGGAAAAGAGACAGCGGGCGCATCAAAGGGAAGGCAGTTGGAGGGTAGCATGGACTAGGGAGGAAGAAGTTTATTTAAAAGGGAGAAGGAGGCCAAATGGCATTTTTATGCAAGTAAATAAACTTGTAGAAGGTAGAATGGTGGAATGGACTTTGACAAATAGTCGTTTACTTCTGCTGCAGAACAGAGCCACCTTCTGAGCAATCCCCACTCCAGCTCATAAAAGCACAAGTTATGGGACCAAATGTGGAATGAGCAGAGGAATGTTAAATAGGAAGATGAGGACATCTTCAGCTAGAAGAGCTAGTTTTTGTTTATTTGTTTGTTTGTTTTTTAAACCAGGGACTTAACTCATGGCCACTTAACCATTGAGCCACATCCCCAGCCCTTTTAATTTCTTTTAGTTTGATACTGCTTTTAAACTTGAAATTCTCCTGCCTCAGCATCCCAAGTCACTGAGATTACAGGCATGCACCACCGCACCCAACAAGCAGAGCTAGTTTGTTGTTGTTGTTGTTGTTTTTACTTTATAAAGAAAAGAGCTAGTTTTTTAAGTCCTTTTATGTACTGCCTCTAATTTGGTGCACCTTTTCTATTTTTATGTATCAACTGCATTTGTTATGCATAAGAACATCTATGATGTAGACCTAAAGAAGAATGGGCATTTTTTTCCCCTTAAGCCAGTTGATGTGACAATAAGCCAAAGAGCCTTGGATCCATAATCAGCTGCCCCATCCTCAAATTCTGCATGACAGATTTTTCATGTCACTTTGGCAAAACTCCTCTGTCGGCCTGGAGGGCATGTGGCTTTCTTTCTGAGATTAAGATTGCATTAAAAAAAAATCTAAAGATGCCTTCATTTTAATACACACAAATAGCCAGAAAGAATCAATGTTCTGAATCAAACACATTGGTAGTGCATGCAAATTTATTTTCTTTCAGATTTTAAGTATTTATTTCCCACCATTAATAGGTCAGGAGGAAGTGCTGGCAAACTGTTTCAAGGCCAGCTTACCCTTCTTCTTTGCTCTCTGCCTCCAAAGGTCTGCTTTGAGTCCGAATAGGATAAAATGCCAATTACAGGTTTCCTGAAATCTCTTGATAACTGATTACTCTTAAGCCTTCTGAGAGAGAGGAGTATTTCCAAATGTTCACAAGTTAAAAATCTCATTTAAGAAATAGCTTTTCTTTGAATGCTTCAGTGGCCAAAGAGATGTCTTCCCAATTCTTCCTTTACTAAAAGAAGCAAACTGTCTTCTCCAGTTAGGCCTCCAGAGGTGATGTCATTCATTCAAATATGTACTCGAGGAGGACATGTACAGTCGCACTGCAGCATGTTCAAATGGCTGAAAAAATCCATCATTCACAAATAATCGTTAGTATAACATCATTTAGCTACTGGCAACTTGCAAACACTGCAGGGTTTAGATTAATAGCAATCCAACTAGGAAATGAAATCATTTATTATTCTTAAGAACCAATTTTATACATTTTATGCCTATGGAACTGCTTTCTAATCTTATTATTTAAAAAATAATGACCAAGACCCATTTACTTTTTTTGCCAGCCCTCAAGCTTCATAAAATATTGGTCTCAAACTGATTTCTATAAGACTCATTAGAATTATGTGCTCCATCTGTTTCTACTCTTCCATTATACAATGCAACCTCAGATAAATCAGAGTTAATAAGATGATTTATATACTTAACAGTTAGGCTTGCATGTTCATTGTTTTTGTTTTTCTTTAAAAATTACAGTTAAAAGGTACCAAGGAATTGGTGGAGACCAATGGCCATAGCCATGAGGATGCAAATGTAAGTACCACAAATATGGTATTTGCTCTTTTCACTGGATGTCAGTTGAACCCATAGAGATATGGTCCTTTATTTGTAACATAAAGGAAATCAGAAACTCTGCCTCTCAGTAGCTTAAAAATTATTATGTAGGCTTTGGCAATGAAATCTGGTAGATAGGCACTGGTGTTGTTTGCTTAGTTTACTACATGCCAATTTAAAAGTACTTGAGCTAATCCCCACCATCAAAAATTCTAATCTCTCTGAATTTGTTTGATCCCTTTATATTTCCAAAGCTATAAAGTAATAAGGTATTGGGAGGGAAAATGGAATGTGTCCCAATAGAGTAATAAGTTGTATATTGCATGTATAGCTATTAAGTTTGCCTGCCAATGAAGATAGTAATTAAATGATTGACATGCTGAAGAGGTCTCAGAACACCCCACTTCTCCCAGAATAACCCTTGAAATTGTACTTCTCTTCTGTTTCTGATCCAAAACAGTAACAGGATGTATTCATCTTTTTGATAGAACATGAGGTACAATGATGCAAGATCCCAGTTAGCACCACAACTTTCTTCTTTAGTGTTCCCTGAATATCTCATGGCTAGAAAAGAAACTAGTATTCTTCATACCTTAGAAGCTCTTTGGTCTCAGGTGATGGAGAATTATACCTTGCGGAAAATTGTCTCTGCATATGCTCCCCGTAGTTTTGTTTATGTCTTTTTTCAGATCTCTCTTGTATCTGTATGTATTTGATTAGCCTTGTCACAGGAAATGCTTACTAAGCAGTTCTTTTCACATAACACAGAATCAGACATGGTGATGAACGCCTGATTAAGCTACAGCTTGGAGAAATTATATATTTCATGTTCTCTCTTGTTTTAATTATATACGGCAGAGAACCCAATAACCAGAGTGCCAAAAAAATCCCTCTTTGCAAGTGTGTTCATGCCCAATGGATGTGCACAGTAGGATGCTAAGTGAGGATCATTGTGTTCCTGGTCCCCTACTGAGTTCCAGGGAGAGGGGCAGGGAGTCCAAAGAGGCATAAAGTGTGTAGTCTGCCCTCAAGAAATTGAAACTCAAGCAAAAGAATCTAGGAACACTTGACAATGTATAGGAGGTAAAGTACCCAAGAAGGTGAGGTAGCTGTGACAGGGTGTGATTTGAAATCCAGATTCTGCTGCTTATTAATTAATTGCATCAGCTTGCCAATTAACCTCTCTGATCTGAGCTCCATTTGCCTCATTTGTAAAAAGAATGACAAAGCTTCTCTTAAAGAACTTGTCATGATATGTAATGAGCTAAGGCCTAAATGAGTGAAAGTCTTAAGGTGTCACGACTGTTTCTTTGTGCTGGATAATCAAGAAAAGCTTCCTGAGTCTGTGGGGTCTAGGTTGGCTTGGGCTTCACTGACAAATAGAATGGCAAGTGGCACGAACCCTGTTCATAAAGCGCTCCCCTCTGACAATGTTGTGGCATCTGTAGAGTCAGCCTTCCTACTGCCACAGTTCTTCACTGCCATAGCCTCTTGCCCTGGAACCCCTCTCTAGTATCCTGTATTCCAGGAACACACTGCCATCACATTCACAACCAAAACTTTCAGATCTATTCCACTCAGAGCCTGTCCCTCTGTGCCTTCCAAGGAAGCTGCTGTCTAACCCAGCAACCCAGTGGCAGTGTGCCTCAGTGTCCTTATCTGTAAAATGGGGATATTCCCTGCCTTTCCTTCCCCAAGGTTTCTTGTGAGGAGCAAATGCAATGACAGACGTGGGAGTGCTTTGTCACTGTGAGCTTCTGAGTAAGAAATGTTGAAAGTCATCTATTATCAAATCATAAGGGTGGTGGGAAGGGAGTTCATCTTTAAGATCTTAAAAGAAAGTACCCAGATTTTATTAATACTTCTCTAGGGTCAAAGAAATGACCATCAAGAGGTGGGGTTCTAACGATGGAGAGAGAAGAGTGACCCTTGGCCAAGGGAAGTGACAGAGCCTGACCATCCTAGCCAGTCAGTATGGGCGTTCCTTCCCCACTGGGCAGAGAACGGAGCTAATTTTTCTGCCTAGATTGTCGAGGGGTTTCCCAGTACGTGGATGAAGCACTTTTTATTTTCTTTCTTGTCTGTAATTTTGTCTCCTTTTGGAATTTTCCTTAGTACTTCCAAAAGGATTATGTGAGAGCCAAGAAATAATTTTTAAAAATCAGTTATTTGGGTCATGCATCAGAGGCTCCAGCAAAATACTTTGTGAAGACATTTTTTAATGTCTGAAACTAAGTCTCCATTTCATCTGGAGTTTCCACCAGCCCTACTGCGATTGAAAAAAAAACAAAGCTTTCATACCAGAAGGAGGGTTTGATTCCTGTGTGATCATTGAATAGCCATCTGACCCTTCTGAACTTCACCTTCCTTTTGTGTTAAGGGAACCATGGACATGAACACCTGGCCTGGAGTGTGCACCAACTGGTGTGGATTCCCTCTTCATGCCTCAGTGGTATTTAACATAGCAGGCAGGATGAATTCTAATGCAGCTCATGAGGTTTAAAGCCTCTGGCCCAGAGGCTGTTTACTAAGACATATGGATTTTTTTTTTACTATAATTATTCACATCTAGAGGCAGGAATTTTACACATTATCATTTATTAATAATAATTAAACAGGGGACTGGTGCCAGCTAAGCTGGGTATTCTTGTGAGAGTTGACAGTTGCTTTTAAAAAAACAGTATATCTTATTTCTTTTTTTTTTTTCAAAAAAATGTCTATTTGAAGTTTGCATATTACAGAAAAGAATACAGAGACAAAGAAAAAATAATTTAGTACATCATTATTCAGAGATAACCACTACTCACATCTCATTTTAGGTTTTTCCCTCTGGTCATGGATATGTACCTGATTGAGAAAATCTATAAACAAATGAATAATTACATGTTGTTATATTACCTATTTGAACCTTTTTGATTTCTCATTATATCATAAATATTTTTATTGCCACCAAAGTTTCCTCAAAGATGTGATTCTTAATGGCTGTACATGTGAATATGTAATAACAGACCCCTGTGCCTATGTGTTAGGCATTTAAGTTTCCATTTTTTGCTGTTATAAATAATGCTGTAATTAGCATGCCCTTAAATCCTGGTTGCATCTCTTGTATTTGTTTCTGGGGGAATCCGTATCTTAATAGCTATGTCAGTAGTTCTGGCAGAGAGCTTCAGACTTTCGGAATTGCTTGGCCTTTGGAATGGTAGTGTCGTACCTGCACTTTTATGCTATCCACTTTTATGATATTGAAGTGATCCACCAGAAGATATGGTGAGTCTTGCAGTTTCGACTTTTGCCTTATTCTCCAGTCATGGTGTGTTGCTACTACTTTTCTATTATTTTAACATTTTCCTGAGCACCACTGAATCTTACTGATGCTTGGTCCTGCATTCTTGAGGTCTCAAAAAAGTAGATCAACCTTTAGAAAGCACCCCCTTCCATGTCACAAGACTTTCCATTAGGTCGTGCCCAGGAGGAGAGTGTTCTAGAGGGTAATTTAACAGAAACCAAAGGCACCTGCAAAGGCCTTGTTCTCCAAGAGGATTTGTACAGTTCAGACTCACACTTGCTGATTTTCAGTATTTTTCTTCTTTTTATTTAGAACTGCATATATTAATAATAGATGGTGAGTCCAACCTTTTACACGTACCCACATTTAAAATTAACCCTCAGCACAACTCCTTTAGGCACTTCAGTTAGTCCACACCCCAATTTCTTTTCTAGAAAGCAAAACTATAAATTTCCTTTTGATCTCTATCTGGAGCTCTCTCCTTATCCCTAGGACCCCCAAATAACTAGACTGGTCCCTGGCAATTATGTATAATAGATATCAAAATCTGAAATTTAAAAAAAAAAATCTGTCCTCATCTTGGATCTTTTTTGTCAGCCTTCTTAGCAGCAGCACCATCCATGATTCTAATGTGCATGTTAGGAGATTAAAGGGTTTAAAGGGATGGGGGATGGAAGAAATGTTGCAGCAGGTAGGAGATATGAAAGAAAGGGTCAGCTGAAGCCTTCAGTGTACAGAACCCCTGGGTCTAAAAGGTTTCCATGCACATCCCTCCTGCACCCTTGTTGCTGGTATAGGAAAGCTGCCACCCCCCATCCCTCATTTGCAGGATTCAGACTCCCACACGGTGGAGAGAGGTGAAGAAATCATTTGCAATCTGTAAAGAGGTTTAATGGGTGACACCCATGGTTTCCACTGTCAAACAGAACACCCTTCCCACTCAACAATAAAACAAAAGCACAAAAGGACAAAGACTTTTCGGTTTTTCACGTGTCTCCTTAAGAACGTAAATCCTCAGAGCCGTCTTTAAATCTGTCAGAGTAAAGGTGTTAAGGGTGTATAGAAGAGATACTGTGTGAGGAACATTCTTCAAGTTTAGCACACCATGGCCAAAAGCTGCCATTAACCATGTATTTTAATGATGGATATGAAGGATCTTCTATAGGTGCCCTTTGCCCAGTTTCAGAGTGTGGCTTTCATCTTTCAGTCAGGTAAAGCAAGAGATAAGAACACATACTGTATGTTAAACAAGGAGAGACCAAACACCTCTAATAGGAAGCAGATCCTCATTCTCAAAGGGAGAGAACAACTCGGGCTCCATTCTTTTTTCCATAACCACTTGCTGCCTAGCCTAAGGGGCCCCAATCTTGAGCTGTAATAATAACAGACTTAATGACAGAGTACCCTACTCCATCCCACCAGTTCCAACAAAGTCCCAGGGATGACTGACCAGCAGACATCATTCCCTGGGGCCAAATATGCCACAGTCCTTCATCTTCCACTCAATTCTCTCCTTCTCACCATCTCATGCTGACCCCGCTTGTACAGAACCCTCACTCTGTGTTCCCATGCTGCCTGCCATCCCTCTCTTATTCCTTAAACCCACAGATACTCATGAAGGGAGGTAGAAAAGTGCAGGGGTGAAGCACAGATCTGAGTGCTAAGCAGTTTCAATCCTGACTGGCTCTGAGGA